GAGAGAGGCTCTGTCCAGCCAAGGCTCATGTGCACATCACTGGATCGAGAGGGGACTCAGGTAAGTATTAGGGTGGGCTGCGGGGGGTGCTAGCAGTAGAAGGTTTCTTACCTTCTTGCATACAATGGACCACAAGCCTGGACCACTAATTATTTAACTGCATTTTATTAATAATTTTCCATTTGTGGATTGACTTTATTGCCACCTTATGCGATATTTACCAAGTGTTTTTGGATTTTGGGGTAAATACAACATAAGGTGATAGTGAATTAACATTTTCAGCATCACATGCGATATTTGGGGAAAATGTGATCTAAATACTGCATGAGAATGAGTGAACTGTGCTCTAGGATTTCTTTGTGGCTTAGTTTGTCTAAAGTCTCCCTGTCACATATTATGTTTTTTCAGATCTATACTATTTAGTATAAATAGTATAAAATTAGAACTGAATATGAATTAAAGTGAACCTGAATTGTTAAAACTTGTTTTCTGAGTAAGAACAGTGCTGAAGTTCAGACACACTAGTACCTGTGCTAGTCTTCAAATTGATCCCTGTGGAGCCCCTTTGGAGGCTGGTATGAACATGGGTCTAGGATCCAGAAGTATCCACAGAGACACGGGAATAAAATTCAAGACTAACAAAGGTACTTGAAGAAAACCACAAGGTGCCTGCAATTCAACATTTTTGCCCATGGATACTTAATAAACCCCTACAATTTGTCAAGAACTTGGAAAGGAAGAAGAAGCACAAGGAACCAATCAGTTGATGTTCTGATAGGCAGCATGTTTGTAGATGGGCTCTAGACCCAAGATACCCAGTCAGGGTGGGTACACATACAAGGGTTTATTTACTAAAGAGTGCAAAATCAAGCTCACTTCTACACAGAAACCAGTCAGCTTCCAAGTTGTATTGCCGAAGCTCATTTGAACAAGCTGAGGTTAGAAGCTAACTGGTTTCTATGCTGAAGTGAGCCTGATTTTGCACTCTCCAGCTTTAGCAATTAAACCCCACAGTTTCTAATTGCATTGAAATGTCTTGTACTTTTGAATATAGGTTAGCGGTAAAGGAAGTTGAGAATTTTTTGAAGGCACCGATATAAGGCAATGCAACAGTTTATGTTTACACCGTGTCACCAGGCTTTGGCCTGTATTACTGGAGGATGGCTTCTACTGGAGGGGTGGGCGGTATGTGGTACACCAGGATGGCACTTTACTCTAATGCTGTTAGGGAGAATGCTTTGTGACTATAACAGTTTCCAGGTATTTTCCTCATTTCAGGCATTGTCCCTTCTCTAACCCTATTTGCCAGGAACCTTTCCCTGCACTAGTCACTTTCTCTGGTCAGTGGTTATCTGTTCCTGTCCTACCACTAGCTCCAGGCATGTCCAAATGATGCAGGAGAACTGTGATCTTGAGAGATTACAGCATCCAATCAGACAGCTGGCTTCTCTGAGATACTGACAGAGTACCTAAGGGGTCAATTCCCTTATTAGAATACTCTCCACCTATAACAATGGCATAGTGCCAACTTCAGCCTAGAAGGAAATCTGTACCCATCTACATGCTGATAAGAGCAAAAAGCAGAATTACAGAGAGATGAGCTTATCACTGTGGTGCTGCTTCTTCTTATTATTCTTGCAGATTTTTTAATGTGTATTTTAATAGATAGTCTGTTATTATTCTGCTCTAAATCTTCATAATTTTCTACTGCCAAATTAATTTGTTTTTTAAAGAGGCCTAAGTAAGACATGGAACTGTAGTTTCCTGGCAGTCATTATGCACTCTGCAACCTTATAATCCATAGTCCATTCACAAACTGGGGTGTAAAGAAGGCCTTCAAGTGAAAGTAAAACCACAGCAAGGAAAGATCAGGGTCCTCCCCTTCAAGACAGAAATGTACTGTAATTCTCTGGACTAGATAAACAAAAATACAAATTCTTTGGCAGTTAAAGTGTTACTAAACACATGACCCAGCATTCACTATATGAGGTCTCCCACAGTACACACAACATGGAAATCCAATTATTTTAGGAAATATAAACTGCTAAATACCTTTTCTCATCAGCTGTATATAGCAGTCTTCTGACTTCTATCAGTGTCCAGCAGAGCACTGGATAAAGCTTGTAGGAAGATTTTTTTATTCTCCTCATTTTATTGTCCTTTGAGGCTGCAGGACCACTGACCCTCTGCCTGGGCGATGACTAGCCCTGTGCTGATCACATGCACTCTCCCAAGAAAAAAAAGCTCTCTGGCAATACACACCAAACTGAGTATGTGCAGCTTACCCCCAAGGCTCTGTTCTACCAGCAGATGGATTGGGGACTGTGGAAGAAGGGGAGGATCAGAGAAGACAGGATGAAACATCCTTTTTACACAATGCAGAGTATTAAACCCTTAGGTTTCACAGTGAATATAAAAGCATTTTTTACTGCATATACAGACTGATTTTACTGTTGTGGGTTTAGTAATACTTTAAAACAGCTCTCACATATGTATTTCATTAGCATATTTAGCTATTTTTTGGAGTTAATGTCTGCTTAAATTATGACTGAAGAATAGATTATCATAGCATAGTGCTTAACTACTTCCCTACTGTGCCAATTCTGACACATGTAAATATCAGCATTTTTTGCTAAAACAATACTCAGAAACCCCAAAATAATATATTTTTTAAGCAGAGGAGATAACTGAAGTCTAGGCATCAGCGTGATGGCCCGGTTGCTAGCCATTTTGAAAACAGAGGTCAGCAATGTCAACTTACATATTATTCTCAGGACAGGTTTCCTTTAGGTGTGTTTTCTAGTACTGAAGTATGTGGCATCCAATAACTAAATCTATAAAGACAGCACAGTAAAAGTCATAAAAGCAGGCATAGCTGGCTTTATGCTCTCATGTATTAATATCATTGTTGTCCCTATGATTATTATTGTTATAATGTGGCAGGTCTGAGCAATCTGTTGTTACTTCATATTTTGATTCTTAACAGGTCTTTGGCTCATTCTTCAAACAGCATTTGTCACTGAATGGTTACAAAAAAAGAAACTGTCAGGATTTCTTCATTGAAGTCATTGAAAAGAGCAGAAAGAGCAATATTGTGCAGTCCACAGGGAACTTAAACACCAATCTGTCTTCTATATGTACAGTCTCAGTGAACTAAAGTGCCAAGGAGATGAAAGCACTAGAAGCAAATGTCTGATAAGGCCTTTCTGTGCTTTTCCTTCTGGAGTTATTGAACTGGCCAGCTGTGAATCCCACCGAGAGATTCAAAAACAGATTTTGACTTTAAAGACTAACTTTGCTTTAAGCTAAATACGCAAATGCTCTGTCTTTTATATCTTAATTTATTCCTAATGTTTCTTAAATGGCATCAAAAATTGGATTTCAAAGAATCGTGTTTTATATAGGATAGCGCTCATCTAGGAACACAGCAAGAGAATATGTAAAACATATGGCTGCCCTTTCAAACATACACCTTGAAAGTTCTCCAAACTACTGCTGTTTCATCCTAATTTGGCTAACCAAAGCAGACTCATGTACACATTTTCATTTTCTTAAGTTTCAGAATGCTGAAAGCATATCTAAACGCAACACAAATGTAATATATTGCAACTCAACAGTCCTTAGATGTGGTTAGATTCTTTTTTTTCACCTGGCAATTCTGCCATTTATACACTTCTAGTCCTAAGGAGGACAACACTCAATTGTCCTTCTGTATTAGGACAGCAGAAACAAGAACTGCAAAGCCCTGTCCCTCTCCTATTGTCTATAAGTTAGACAGGAGTGGTTCTGTACTCTTCAGAGAACAATGTAGTTGATAACAATCAGTTCACAGTTCACCAGGAATATCAACAGTGTTTTTACATATATATATATAATATATATATATATATATATATATATATATATATCACACATGTAGCAGTACCCCCATAGGAGCCAGCAATTTTGTATATCCCTACTTTTCCAGTAACTGACCCGCAGAAAGGCGTACATGCACAGTCACTCTGTTGACTCAAGACACAGACCATGGGATGAGTTTTTTTTTTGATGATTTAATAAAGATTTTACTTGAATAGGGATGGGAGTTGGTGGGATACTTCAGTAAGTCCTAGCAACAACTCAAGGACACTGCAATTGCTTCCTTTAACACTGAGTGCAGTCCCTGTATAGCAGATATGGGACAGACTCTACAATGACTGTATTGAGGAGGTCAAGCCTTCCTTGGCAAAAGTCCCTTCACAAGGAATTAGATAGACTATGCTCTTCGGGACAAAGAAACTTCTTAGCAAACACTCGACTGACCTTCTAACACATAGAAGGGTTAGCAGCAGCACTCATTCTCTAGGATCTTTCACCCTTGTCTATACTCACTGATGCCTCTGGACAAATTGTTGCCTCCTACCAGTATCCTGCAGGTACTTGCTCCAATTGGTACTAGACCATATCCTCAGAAGACATCCCCTCAGCCAGCTCTCAATAACCTTCAGTAGCACCAGGCCCTCCAGCCTCCCAGCTGGGGCCTCCGCTTCACAAGCACATAGCCATAGTGCCCAGGGATGGCAAACAGCCTACTAGGCTGTGATCTTTCCATCTGGAAGAAGACCCCCTGGATACAGTAGTCCAAATTAAGTTTGCCTAACAGAACAAATCAGTTTCATTGACTACAATGGACCCAACTCAATTTACCAGTTCTAGCATGTAACTAGAATGGTGCTACACACATATAAGATAAAACACTTTCAATGGAATATTTAACCTCTTGCCGACCGTGCATAGCCGAATGACGGCTTCACCGCGGCCGGCCAGTTCTGGGTGGACGTCATATGATGTCCTCCCAGAACGCGCTATCATGCGCGCCCCAGGGGGCGCGCACCCGGCGATCTCCGTGATCGCTGTGTCCTACGGACACAGCTGATCACGTGATGTGGTAAAAGGCCAATCACAGCGGCCTTTTACCACGTGATCAGCGGTGTCCAATGACACGCTGATCACAGGGAAATGCAAGTGCCGGTTCTCGGCTGCACTTTCCTCACGCTGTCAGATCGTGAGGAAAGTACTGCCGAGAACCGGCAGTTGTCAGAGCGGGGATCGGCACCGATCATCAGGGCACTGATGATCAGTGCCCTGATGATCGGTGCCCAGCAGTGACACCCGCAAGTTCCGCCCAGCAGTGCGCCCACTAGCTCCGCCCACCCGTGCCCAGCAGTGCACCCACCTGTGCCCAGCAGTGCACCCACCTGTGCTACTCTGCAGTGCCACCTACCTGTGCCCAGAAGTGCCACCTACATGTGCCCAGCAGTGCCACCCACCTGTGCGCACCCACCTGTGCCCACCAGTGCCACCCACCTGTGCCCACCCACCAGTGCTGCCCACCAGTACCACCCACCAGTGCAGCCCAGCAGTGCTGCCAGTCAGTGCCACCAGTCAGTGCCCAGGGGTTGTGCCAGTCAGTGCCGCCAGTCAGTGCCCAGCAGTGATGCCAGTCAGTGCCGTCTATCAGTACCCATAATCAGTGTCACCTATCAGTGCTGCATATCAGTGCCGCCTATCCGTGACCCCTAATTAGTGCTGTCTATCAGTGCCGCCTATCCGTGCCACCTCATTAGTACTGCCTATCAGTGCCCTTTAGTGCTGCCTATCAGTGCCCATCAGTGCCGCCTATCAGTGCCCATCAGTGCTGCCTCATCAACGCACATCAGTGAAGGAGAAAAAATACCTGTTTGAAAAATTTTATAAAAGAAACAAAACTTTTTTTTTTTTTTCAAATTTTTTGCACTTTTTTTATTTATAGCGCAAAAAGTAAAGCGCCCAGTGGCGATTAAATACCACCAAAAGAAAGCTCTATTTGTGAGAAAAAAATGATCAAAATTTCATATGCATACAATGTTGCATGACTGCGCAATTGTCAATCAAAGTGCGGCAGCGCTGAAAGCTGAAAATTGGCCTAGTAAGGAAGGGGGTATAAGTGCCTGGTAGGCAAGTGGTTAACCAAAAAGAGAAGTCTGTTTTTATGCTTTATATACACCTTAAACTAACCTCATAGATATATAGAGTAGCCAGACATTTGTTTTTGGGAGGAATGAGCATAGAAGTAATGTGACCAATGTGGGTTGTTCTAATGTCCTGTCCCCAATTATTAAAGTACCACTGTTATAAGAGAATTATACAGCAGCCATTGCTTGATTCCTTGTTTGCTGGCTTTGTCTGACTTTAACCCTTTCGCCTCCAGGCCCTGTTCCCCTCTTTTAACCTAAGGTGGCTGGACCATTTTTTGCTATTGTTCACTTTTTTATCATGTTTCACTCTTTTTAGCTTACAGCTTAGAAAATTGTAAAATACCACTTAAACCATATATTTTATGAAAGTACCAAATCCATAGAATAAAAAGATGGTGCTACTAATTTTGTACATTCCTTGATAGTTGCACAAATGTTTATCAAAGCTATATTTTCTATACAAAATGCATGAAAATCATAATGACTACTAAATCTAAAAGATAAAATTATATTGAGATAACAAATAGCAAACATTTGGAAATTTTAACCACTTGCCCTCCAGAGGATTTACCCGCCTTCCTGACCAGGCCATTTTTTGTGATACGGCGCTGCGTTATTTTAACTGACAATTACGTGGTCATGCAATGCTGCACCCAAATTAAATTTATGTCCTTTTTTTCTCAAAAATAGAGCTTTCTTTCCGTGGTATTTGATTGCCTGTACGTTTTTTATTTTTTGTGCTATAAACAAAAAAAAATACCAACAATTTTGAGAGAAGAACAATATTTTTGACTTTGCTATTAAACATGTCCAAAAAAAAAATTTAAAAAAAAATCAAATTTCATCATAAATGTAGGCCAAAATGTATTCTGCTACATGTCTTTGCTAAAAAAAATCCCAATACGTGTAAATTAATTGGCTTGCATGAAAGTTATAGCATTTACAAATAGCGGTATATACAGTTGCAAGAAAAAGTAAGTGAACCCCTTGGTATTACGTGGAGTTTTGCATGAATTGGGCATAAAATGTGCTCTGAACGTCATCTAAGTCACAACAATAGAAGAACACAGTCTGCTGAACATAATACTACACAAACATTAGATGTTGCCATGGTTTAATTGCACATAACATGTAAACATTCACAGTGCAGGGAGGAAAAAGTATGTGAACCTTTGGACTTAATAACTGGTTGACCCTCCTTTGGCAGCAATAACCTCAACCAAACGTTTCCTGTAGTTGCAAATCAGACCTGCACAACGATCTGGATTAACTTTGGACCACTCCTCTTCACAAAACTGTTTCAGTGTAGCAATATTCTTGGGATGTCTGGTGTGAATCGCTCTCTTAAGGTCATGCCACAGCATTTCAATGGGGTTGAGGTCAGGACTCTGACTGGGCCACTCCAGAAGGCGTATTCTGTGCTGTTGCAGCCATTGTTTTGTTGAATTACTTGTATGCTTTGGGTCATTGTCCTGTTGCATCACCCATCCTCTGCGGAGCTTCAGTTGACGGACAGATGGTCATACGTTTTCCTGCAAAATGTCTTGATAAACTCTGGAATTCATTTTCCCATCAATGACAACAATCCATCCAGGCCCTGAGGCAGCAAAGCAGCCCCAAACCATGATGCTCCCTCCGCCATGTTTTACAGTGGGGATGAGGTTTTGATGTTGGTGTGCTGTGCCTTTTTTTCACCACACATAGTGTTGTGTGTTCTTCCCAAACAACTCAATCTTGGTTTCATCTGTCCACAGTATATTTTGCCAGTAGTGCTGTGGAACATCCAGGTGCTCTTTTGCAAACTTCAAACGTGCTGCAATCTTCTTTTTGGACAGCAATGGCTTCCTCCGTGGTGTCCTCCCATGTACTCCATTCTTGTTTAATGTTTTCCTTATTGTAGATGTGTCAACAAAAATGTTAGCATGTGCCAGAGATTTCTGTAGGTCTTTAGCTGACACTCTGGGATTCTTCTTTACCTCATGCAGCATTCTGCGCTGTGCTCTTGCAGTCATTTTTACAGGACGACCACGCCTAGGGAGAGTAGCAACAGTGCTAAACTTTCTCCATTTGTAGACAGTCTGTCATACCGTGGACACATGAACATCAAGGCTTTTGGAGATACATTTGTAACCCTTTCCAGCTTCATGCAAGTCAACAATTCTTGATCGTAGGTCTTCTGAGAGCTCTTTTCTGCGAGGCATGGTTCACATCAGATATTGCTTCTTGAAACCATTAAACCCAAAACAGGTGTGTGTTTTTTAAGGGTAGGACAGCTGTCAGCAACACATCCAATATCATCACACTGATAGGAGTCAAGGTTGGCTCGCTCCTGGCTCCAATTAGCTCTGGGAGAAGTCCTTAAGCTAGGGCCTCACATACTTTTTCCTCCCTGCACTGTGAATGTTTACATGTTATGTGCAATTAAACCATGGCAACATCTAATGTTTGTGTAGTATTATGTTCAGCAGACTGTGTTCTTCTATTGTTGTGACTTAGATGACGTTCAGAGCACATTTTATGCCCAGTTCATGCAAAACTCCACGTAATCCCAAGGGGTTCACATACTTTTTCTTGCAACTGTATACTGGAATTTATTTATTTATTTATTACTAGTAATGGCGGCAATCAGCAACTTATAGTGGGACTGCAGCAGGCATTCTGACACTGGGGGGAACTAACTTGGTGTCACTGACATCCCCAGTGACACCAATACAGTAATCAGTGCTAATAAAAAGCAACGACACTGTACTAATGGCACTGGGCAGGAAGGGGTTAACATACGGGGCGATCAAAGGGTTAACTGTGTGCTGTTTCACTGTGTGCTGTGTGTGTGCTTTCCATTGCAAGCACACTGCTTTGTATGGCTCTGATATGCAGGAGCTGACAGGGGAGAGATCTGTATTGCTTATACACAGGTCTCTCCCCCATCTGTAATACTCGGTGATCATAGGATGCCATTCGGGATCCAGTGATTGACAGCCAAGGCCACGAATTGCGGCATGGGTAGGGCACACGCCCATTACCTGGAAATGCAAATCCACATTAAAGCGGAGCTCCACCCAAAAGGGGAAGTTCGGCTTTAAGCCCGCCCTCCTTTAAGGATTGGCAGCTTTGGGGAGCGGGGGGCATGTGCAGTGGGCACCCGGCTGTGAAGCTACAAGCTGTCAGAACCAGGTGCCCACACTGAAGATGCCAGGGAGAGAAGACGACCGGTGAAACCAGATGTGGTGAGGACACCGCTGGACCAAGGGACAGGTAAGTGTCTGTATTTTAAAAGTCAGCAGCCACAGTTTTTGTGCCTTTTTTGCAGAATGGTGAAAATCAAAGGTACGTAAAGCTGTCGATCAGCAATGTGCGCTAAAATTCTTGAGTTTGCATTGCTATAAAATGATGCAGGCACACATGTGCAGCACAGTGCCTCAACATGCTGCTATGCATAAATATGAATTACTGTAATTTTTAAAGGTTTTTATAAAAAAAGATCAAGTACTGTGACACTGCTGATTACAGCTATTCATGACTCAATATAGTCTAGTGAAAGCTATTCATAATACTGCGCCAAACTACCTCACCGACCTGATATCCAAATACCACCCAAAACGTAGTCTTCGCTCCTCACAAGACCTCCTACTCTCCAGTTCCCTGGTCTCCTCCTCCCATGCCTGACTCCAGGACTTCTCCAGGTCTTCCCCCATCCTCTGGAACTCACTACCCCAATCCATCAGACTGTCATCTACCCTCCTCACCTATCTCTTCAGGGAAGCCTACCCCGCCCTCACCTAACAGCCGATCTCCTCCACTCCTCCTACCACTCCGTCCTCTACAGCCATTTCCTCCTGTACCACTATCCCCTCCCTCCTAGATTGTAAGCTCCAAGGAGCAGGGCCCTCAAACCGCTCGTGTATTGTATTGTTACTTTATTGTCTCATGTACTGTCCCCCACTATAATGTACAGCGCTGAGCAAACTTTTTGGCGCTATATAAATACTGTATAATAATAATAATAATAATAGTGGACCCATCTTCCATATGTCTATGAATTTATAGTCTAAAGCACATGTGTCAAACACAAGGCCCATGGGCCTAATATGGTCTTCCAGGCTATTTCATGTGGCCCTTACACCTCTCCTACAGCTGCAGCACCCTCCTCATCTCCATCATCACATTGTTTCAGCAGTCTGTAACAGAGAGGAGGACAGAACTCTGCCACTAGATCCTGCGCCTCTCTGTGCAGCTGAGGAGAGGCTTATCTCTGCCCCCACCCCCATCGCAGCAATTGGCAGCAGAGGAGGACAGAACACCTCCTATAGACCCTGTGCCTCTCTCAGCTGCAGCACCCCCCCTCCCTCCACTTCACCAC